CTCCTCTACAGACCAAATGAGGAAAAATAAGTTGAGAAACTTCTATGGACTATGTCTTAAACATTGACCACAAAGGAAGGACAGGTTAAGGTGGGGGGAGAGGTGGGGAGAGACTGGACAAGATGTAGCTTTATTTATTCTTCTCTTTCTTAATCTCTATACCGGTAGTCACGCCAGCTGGATCCTCAGAATCTGAATCCAAAGGCCTTGATAATCTTAAACATAACAGGAAAAAAGAAAAATCTTCATGAAGCGAGAGAACATCCAAAGGGATAATGTGAGGCTCAGAGAGGAATGAATTGTGTGCAAATTCGTGACAAGGGGAAAGAGGACCGAGGATGCTGAGGCGTAGAGGCATCTGTGATTTCTATTTTAGTCAATTGGCTGCTTCTCTTCTGTTGCAGTTTCAGTAAGAAGCCATCGGTTAAGCTGGATAAACAGAGGAATCATATTTCATGAGTTGTGGAAAAAGAATAGGGTTGTTTAAAAATGCCCCCAGTAAAGGTACGCGGCTTGTATTTTCATTCCACATCTCACCAGGAGAAAAAGAATAAATATAAAAGAATAGTAACATCCCATTTTCTGAACTTTATGTATGTGCAAATAAATCTGTACAAAGCAAGGTGGTTTAGGGGAATGAGTGGAGACGAGACAATAGAAAGCATGGAGAGAAAATCCCAGTGTCAATTACTGCTTTACACATTTTTGGAAAGGGAAAGTATTAATGGTATTTTGCCTTAATTGCACTCCGCAATAGAATAGGAATAATTTCTATCCCTCTACTTTACTGGGTTACTTATGGAATGAAAATGCAAAGCTATAATAAGGCTTGGACATAATTTCTAGAGCAAGGAGTCAGCATGAGTTGTCTTCAGCTCAAATTTGCATGTAATCAAAGAGCTGGTAATACTCTAGGAGCTTCCAGAAACTCCCCTGTCGTGGACTCCCCGGTCTCAGTTCAGGGTTGCTTTTGAGGTCAAGAAATGCAGGCTACCTTATTCTTTATGATTTCTGATTTGCTGTTCACTGTACAGGAGCGTACCGCATGGCCCCAGAAGGCATCAAGCCACAGAGAAAGCCCCAGGGCATGCAACAGCAATGAAGAAAAAACAAAAAAAAGCCCGAAAATTGCACTCAGTCCTGGATTTTCTGTTGAACACTTGCACTGCACAATGAGTTGAGCTGCATCCTTAGCTAAAGCCTTTCCTGAAGGTAGACTCGTTGGTTTCATGCATGAATTTTGGAGGGAACCAGATGATGTGCACGTGGGAGCAAGTGTCCGGTGCTAGGTAAGTCTCATGCATGGTCCTCAGAGAGGGATGTCTTCTAGTGTTTCATTTCAGAGTGTACATCTGTGATTAATGACAGCTGTGTTACTTATTTTAGAGTCTCAACCATAATAGTTGGGATTCAGTAAATTTTTGCAGGACATTGTGTGAAATTGATGATTCTGGACTGCACTTATTGCTGAAACTCTACATTTCTCCTGAAACTATAATCGACTTCACCTATAAATACAGACAGAGTATAATTAAGACCATCTGGTAGAGGGAATAGATTTTGAAAACATTTTTGCTGGAAAGGAAGCCAAATTCACTCTTGGGAGTGGGGTCTCTACCTCTGAAATAATAGTATAAATAAAACCATTCCAGGAAGCGTCAACAAAATCTTAATTTGATGTACAAGGGCTGAAAAGCCAAAGCTGGAAGGAGAACCATGGGACCAAAATGTGTTTATACAGATGCTGGATTGTCTCCAAAACCTGTGAAAATAGTACTAAACCCTCCCAGGGCTGAACAATGGGACTGAAATGAAGAATCAAATAATAATTAATATGTGTTAACTTGCTCCCACCCAATATCACAGTGTGGCATTTTTTTTCGCCTACAAGCACAAAAAAATCAACGTAGTGCAAAGGGTTTCTAGTCTCTTCGTTGTGTTAGCACAGACTCAGGCAGGGAAGGAGTCACCAAGAAAGTTTTGGTTGGAGCTGGTCTGCATTACTGTTTTTATTTTTCTAAAACAATTTTAAGGAGAATACAATCCTCTGGTAAGTCAGTTCCTTCATAGAAATTAGTTTCATGCATAAATTTTTGTGTAAAATCTGAGCTGGAGACTGACCTTCTGACAACTGGCTCAGGCATGGAGCGATGCTTCAGGCTGAGCTGAGGTGGGGCTCCCAGGGGGGGGTCAGGGGAAGCCCTGTGATCAAAGCCCCTTGGGGCTCTGAAAAATGCTGACAGGGCACTTATTTTCAGCATCTGACTTTAATAAGAGTTACTTTGAATGGACTGTTTTATGAACTATAAGATATACTGGACATAATATTATATGGAGGTAAGAAGGTTGTTTATTTTTCATACTCACTAGGACCAACAATAAATAGATTTTTAGGTTCCAATCTGAAAAAAAATTAAATAGTGTGCCTATTCAATGATTCATTTTCTTTTTGTATATTTGAATCTCCCAGTCAACATTGCCCAAGTAGCCAAACTATCTTCCTACACTTGACCTCCACACTTGAAGAAATAATTGCTGCCTTTTTTTAGGCAGTGACAGCTGAGGGGGGGACTGCGACCTCAGAAAACGGAGAAATTTCCTATCATTGGCTTTGTTTTTTAAAAAACTTTGATCTGAAGTGCATATGTGAGGTAGGGAGGGGAGAGGCAGAGGAAGAGGAAAGGCCAGTATTAATTGCAGAGATTGCAGGCAGAGTAGGACAACAATTTTGAAATAAATCATATAACCAAATCATAACAGGAAAATCTGATAGTCTGAGCACTGCACAGAGCCAGTATCCTCTCCCCAAGCACAGTGCCATTTCATTAGTGTTCCTGGAAAGCTCAGACAAGAGATATCCCTAATGTGGTAGAATACCAGATGTAAATCACTGAACAACTTGATTTTCTGCTCCTTCACCCTGACTCACCACAAAAAGCACCCCGCCCAAACCCCCTAATTCCCCCTCCCCTACACACACACACACAAAGAAGCCTAAACAAACAAACAAAACCCCCTTCTATGGAAAAAGTAGAACCGCACCAGATTGAGAAGACAGTGAAACACAAAGATATAGTTTGGACACTGCTCAGGCCTTTAAATGACCACGTGTCGGAGTAGACATGGGAGGTGCTTCTCTTTGAGCAAGTCTTACCTGCAGCTTCAGATTGCTGAACATGCTTCTTTTACCCCTCCAAAGTATTTTCAAAAACACACGCTCAAACACCACAACAAAATTTGGCTATAATTCTGTAGCTTTATAAAGCTGTCCTGGCTGGGTAATGAATAGTTTCTTCTTTTTCAGTTGTTCTCACAAGTTTTATTTTCCACCAGCTTATGTGGTATAATGAACTACAGAGAGTTATTAAAATCTCAGGACAATTGGTATTTTACACAGGTGAGAACACTGAGTATGCACACCTACTGAGGAGTAAAACTCTTGGCTCATATAATAATGAATAGAAGGAATTTGGAAATTAATTGTATTTTCAAGTCTTGAGCATTCTAAATCTTGGCTTGCAAATTGCAAACAATTGTTGTTTCAAGCATATGGTCTAATCTAACACAAATGGGTGGTATATATGGTAGTTCCGGGGCACAGTATACACTTACATTGACGTTAGCAGCAGTATGGGCTAAAGCTGACATCAAAATAAAGCAAATAAACACGGGAGCCTAAACAGTTCTGAAGAATTAGCTCCAAAGAATTCCAGTTTCCTGTTGATCTGCCTTTTACTGTTGGTCAACTTTTGTGTTTAAGATAACTTCTTATGTGTGCTAAGAGGGCTTATAATGTTTTTCTCCTACTTAATGTTGAAGTGTCATTTCCATGTGCAGTCTTTCCATCATCAAGGCACTTTAATGGCCTAACTCCTTCAGCAGGCTGCTCGGTGCCATGATGTTTGTGGAAGAATAATTATCTTTGGGACCGCTAGCCTCTACTTCACATGTGGCTGAAATCAGAGGGCACACACACACAAACAGACTTTATAAGCCTGGTTTCCAAAGGAAATAGCTCTAAAAAGACACTCTTTGCCTTTTGTTTTACAAGAAGTGATCTCATTGTAATCAGAACGGATGTCCTATCGAAGACATTGGAAGGTCTTTCCATTCAAATGAAAGATAAACAATTAACACGACCCAGTATCAGAAGAGTAAACACTCAGTGGTAAGTGACAGACCAGTGACCCCAAGGAAGGAATAACGTCCCACTTATAGTAGTTTCTTTTGGAAGGGAGGCAGGATTTTCACATCAGGCCAATTGCTGCAGCCATTCTCCTGCTACCTTTCAGTGGATTTCTGGTTGTAAACTTCTCAGGTTCCTCGTCACATCCAGTTTGTTTTCTGTTTCTATGAGGATATTCCTTCTCCTAATAACAACAAAAAAAGATCTGTTCCTAACAGCCCATATAAGAATACAGCATAGATCTTCAGGGAAAATGTTAAATGAAGGTGATATGAAGATCTTTCCTGGTCCCCAAGGAAAGGGGAGCTCAAAGGAACTGAAAAAAGGAGACATTTGGGGACCAGGAAAAATATTTACTTTTGCAACAGAGCATAAAAAATATGCAAGAAATATGCTCAAGCTATAAATTCTTTGAAATGACATGGGCAAATGGGATGATTCATAAGCAGTCAGGAAATTATGAAAAGGGTAAATGGTCCAAAATGATGAAAAAAGTAATTTTCCATGGTTGGTAGGATGAAGATAAAGTGACTTTTCTGCTGTTTGGGTAAGCTCAGCGATACGGTGCATGCTCTGAGAGGCTAAAATGGCAGCAGGGTTAAGTAGCAATGGATTCTGCAACGACCGACACCGCGAACTAGAAACCCTTGATCTGATGCAAACCTCCCCACCACCTGCCACCCAACAGTTTCACGTTTAGAACACGTTAGTCTGGTGTGACAGGGAGTCACCCAAAGCTTTTTAATCTCTTTGCAAGAATAGTAGCGTGGTAGGCTCCGTTTCCCAACCAGTGTAAAAGTAACACTCACGACACTGCTGTTTTTGATTATTTATTATGGCACTTTAAAGCATATAAACTCCATTGCTAGGTGTTCCAAGCCAGTTTAAAAATAAAATAAAATAAAATGAGGCTTTAAGTTTTAGGCAGTATTTCAGTAGATTTTGGTTAAGAATTTTTAGAATGTTACTAGGCAGGAAATATGAATTTTGCTAGGAGAACAAAGTCTTTTCAAAATAAGGCTTCCTTTCAGTAAAGCATGTATATGTTTGCTTAAGTTTATCATGCCCATGGGCTCACTAGTATGTCTCTTTTTTCAGATAAGAAATTTGTGGATTTCAAACACGAAAAAACAAAGTAACACCTGAAAATATATTCCTATACTTAAACAGCAACAAAGCTCACCTCCTATTTATAGCCACTCAATTCTATTTACTTTGTAACACGCAAGTTAGAAACAGCTCTAGAACCTGAACTCTAAGTTTTCGGGTTGTTTTTTTTTTTTTTCCAATTTCAGATTTTACTAGCTTAGCAATTAAGGATGCTGGTCAAAATCCAGCTTGCTGTTAACTGTTCGTTGGCATATATTGCATTGTCTTGAACTGAAGGCAGTTTCTAGTAGAGCCTAAAACCAAAGGGAGTTTTTATAAAACCTCACTTTAAAATTCCATTATAGTAACACCATTTCCACTTCATATATTTGACAATTTTATTTAATAGCCCCTTAAGTTCAGAATAGTTACGTAATAGTTACATCACGGCTTTTTAAAAGGATTGCACTCGGCTACTCAGTCCATTGAAATACTAGAAAACAGGGAAAAGGAAAATACGGAGTGTAAAGGAGCTCTGTCCACTGAACTGAGTTGTTTGTAGCAAGTTCCTTCTGAACATGAAGACGTTCTCATGCTTTCTGGTAGACTCTCACACACTTGACACCATTCATGTCACATTCCTAGAAGATAAAGAGATGGATTTATTAATTTGCCTCAGTACAGACTATAAAGAAAAAGATCTTTTAGAGTTACTGCTGGCCAGCAGCACTCAGGGATCAGAAAGTGGGAATGGACTTACCACCACCAGTTGTCCATCCACTAGTTTCCGCGTTATTATGGTCTTCTTGCCGTCCCATTCCTGCTCCTGAATCAATGACCCATCATCTTTTAAGCTGACAAGGGTCTGAAAGAAGAACCCGAGCATCAGTATTTTACCCACCACATTTGAGGGAGCCTGAGGCTTTCCAACACCTTATTATTCCAAAGGAAAAATCCCCACCCCAGCTCACCCAATAGCGATTTTGCCATTGACATCTACAAAGCCAGGATATTGTCTTAAACGTGTTTTATCGATCCTCAAACTCGCTGCTTGTTCACTGGCTGCTCCCACACATTCCTGCCCCAGGCAGCCTGCACAATTTCAATTAATAAGAGCAGACGGGTGTTCTCTGTTCATCTCTTTGTACACAGGCTCTGAGCTTTTGTGTAAGGTTTATCTGATCTTGCAATAACAGACGAATTGCCAGTGTGTAGCTGGGGGGTGGGGTGGGGGGGTGTTGGTAGCATAAAGAGAGTACTCGTGCAAGGAAGTGAGAGACATATTTGAGGGCTTCTTTGTGTTTAACCTCTTTTTGGCTTAATATTCACCCTATTTGGTGCGGGGAGAAGCTCTTTGCCTGCTAAAACTGGAGATTAGGGGCTGTGATTCACACCCATGCCCTGTGTGTCCATCATCCCACTGGACACTGAACCAGGCTCCCCTTGTTATGCAAATACCAGACCCAGCAGAAAGGCTAAGCCTAGGGCTGAATTGCTTCTGATTAAACATCAATGGGATTTTTTTTCCCCCCCCACGGGCTTCAAATGAAGTGGCATTTGGCTTTAACAGGGATTTAGAGGTCTGTTAGTTTTACTAACACAATGCTTCTGCTACAAATTGAAAACAACAAAACACACAAGACATTATTGGCTTCAGCATTTTCGCTCTTTGGAAGTTGCTTAATTCAGGGAAAAAAAAAAAAAAAAAAAGAAAGAATTTATTTCAATGAGACTTACAGCGACAGCTGTTCATATAAAGCATCATTAGTATGGATGTTAAAACTGATTTTTAAAATAATGTCCCCATCTGTAGAACACTTTTCAGTAGAAAGTTTCGAATACTGACCTGAGTTTTCCTGCCATCTAATGTATTTTCCTCAAATTTCTCACCAAGCTTGAAGCTGAACTGTGAAGTTTTGAAGGTGCTTTCTGTTTTTACAGTGATTGTGTCCCCATCCTTAATAATGTAAACATCTGGCTTGGCCATGCTTCCCATTTTCCTCATGGCCATACCCACACCTGCAAGGGGAGAGGCACAGAGAGTCACAAAGCCAGTTAAACCCTAAGGCTTAGGGCCACACAAGAATTCAAATACCTAATTCCCATTTAATTAGGCACTTAAGTACACTTGAGAATCAAAGCTCAAGAGCCCACAAAGAAAGAGGATGTTTTAAATTATCCACTGATGAGGAAGGAAAAAAAAAAAAAAAAAAGCTTATTTACAAGGTTATTCTTTACCTTCCTTGGGGAGCTGAAGTTAAATCTATTTTGCCCCCTAGAGGACTCACAGATGTCCCAAAACTCAGCATTGAGTTTTTTACAACCAGAAATAAATTGTAAGCAGGAAAACAAACAAAATCTTTAACGAATGTAAAATTGTTCCCTTCAAGTTCTGAACACTTTAAAAACTCTACAGAGGATTGTCAATTAACAGATTAGTCCACTGGCATACTTATTTCAACCTACTCAAACACTCTTCCATCACTCTCTATGCAACCCAAAACATGTTTTTTTTTTTTTTTTATTTCATAGCAGTTCATCTTCTACCTCCTGTATCAAAAGTGTGGACTCGTGAATTGGAAAATTGCCGTCATGCAAAATAGTGCTCACAGTCAACTTAGACAAGAACCAAAAAAAAAAAAAAGGATTTTGAAAGAAGTGAGCTTTGCCAGTGACTGAAAAGTCATCTTCTGGGGACATCAGCCCTCAAAACTCTTCAGCAAAAAAAGATTCCCCCTGCCCCAGCCCCTGTGTGCATTTCTTGGGTAGTTTGCTTGAGTCTTTTAGATCTGAAGGATGAAGATACGAGCAAGAGGGTGGTCACAAACATGAATCCATCAAACTGGAGAGTGCAGATCTGAAGCAAGAATTGATGAGCAACCAACTGGAACGGAAAGTGGCCACCAAATGAGCGAGTGCCTCGGCTCCCCAGCTGGTGTGGTTAGAAAATATTGTCACAAACCAGCACAGCACTCCCCCGGAGCAGACAGGATGCTTGGATGAGGGCTGAATCCACAAAGCAAAGATTAGGGTTTCCTTGGGCAGTGGAAATAATGAAGTACTTCCCAGCCACTGCTTCTCCAGACTCAACTCAGAGTCCAAGACTGAGCCTCAAGCTTGAGATTGCCGAGCAAAAACCAGTCCTCCTCAGTCCAGCTTTTCTGACCAGCATTGGGAGTTATGGTCACAGTGACACCCCACCCCAAACTTTTGCTGTTGTCCAGTCCAGAGTAATCAGGGAGTTGCCTGATCAGCAACACCTTGGCATCCAACTAAACAGAGATGAGCCGTGTATGTTTTCCATACGGCAAGGAGTGAAATTCAGACTTCTTTATCCTCCAATGTTCTTTTTATAACAACTGAGCAGAATCGGCCGAATTTCATCAATTGGGATCAAAGGCAGAGAGTTCCCCGAGTAACCAGCAAGGGTGAGAACCAATGAAGGGCTGGCTCCTAAAGTGTGAGTTGGAGTAAATTTGATTGCCTAAATTGTAATTACACAGAGGAAAAGTGACTGGTTTAAGATTGCAATCTAAAAAACAAACAAGCAAACACCACTCAGTTGTTGCCTACACATGGGAGGTGCTCTGCAGTTGCAGCACTTAATTTACACTTTGAAGTTGCAGCTTGGCACATGCCTGGCCCTGGCTGTCAGACGGGAGCACCGCGGCATCCTCATCCCTGCTGAACCCAGCCGAGTTTAAAATTCCTGAATTTCCTCCAAAGTCTCCCAAAAAGGCTGAGTCCAGGCTTTCTCACATCACAGCTCACACATGGACAGGCCTCTCGCTAAATAGGGTTACAGCCACCGCTGTCTGCAGGGTGACAATGCAGTGATGCCTTTTGTATTTCACACAAAGAGCATAAGACTTATATTTCTTCTTATATTTCTTCCTCTCCTCGCGCCAAAGACATTTAAGGCCACATCTTCCACCTCTTGGGAAAATATCCCAGCTTTCGGCAGTGAATAAATAGCAGAAAATAATAGCTCCTGGGCTACAGATAGACCATAACGTGTCTGTCACCTGTTGGCCAGGATGCTCAAGGGGAAAGCAGTAAACCTGAGGCTCCGAGCGATAGGTCTGTTCTTGATTTGGGAACTTTGGGCTACAAAATGGGGGGCAACCTGGAAGCTAACCCCTTGAGATACGGGTGCTACCCCCGGAGAATATGGCAGGGTCACCCACACGCAGCAGATCCAGTTGGGCTTTCTGGTCAGGGGACACCAAGGCGAGTTCACAGGGAAGACCCCTGGGCCAGCAGGTCTGTCTGTGGCCACCTCGGGTGCCCTGAGCCCTGCCCGGGCACCAGCCTTGGGGGTCCCCCCATCCACCTCCCCCCTGCCCGCCCCGGGCAGCCCCAAACCGGCTCCGCTCCCCCCGCCCCGGGCGGCCCCGGCTCCCCCCGCCCCGGGCATCACCGGGAGAAGGAGGAGCAAACCTTAGGGCAGCCGGGCTGCTGGCACCGCCTGATAATCCGGGGTGATGCCGGGCAGCGGGGGGGGCACAGGGGGAACGCGCCTGCGGTAGCGCCGGCACCTGCCCCCCCGCGATTACGGTGCAAAAAATAAAATAATGAAAAAATAATATATATTTTAAAAAAAAAAAAGGTTTGCCGACATCTTTAGGAGGAGGCAGCTAGCCCGGGAGGAGGGGGCTGCTCCCAGAGCCGCCGGTGCCGCATCCCGCAGAACCCCCCCACCCGCCCCGGCTGCGGGACCGCGCCCCGAACCCGCGGACCTTGGACAGAGCTCGGGAGGGCGGCGGGGCGGCCCTGGGGGGGGACGGGCCGGCATCCCCATCCATCCCGGTACCCCCATCCATCCATCCATCCCGGTACCCCCTCAGCATCCCGCTCGGTACCCCATCGATCCCGGTACCCCCTCCTCATCCATCCCGGTGCCCCATCCATCCCGGTACCCCCTCCTCATCCCGCTCGGTACCCCATCGATCCCGGTACCCCCATCCATCGATCCCGGTACCCCCATCCATCCATCCCGGTACCCCCTCAGCATCCCGCCCGGTACCCGATCCATCCTTCCCGGTACCCCATCCCGCCGGTACCACATCCTTCCCGGTAGCCGATCCATCCTTCCCGGTAGCCGATCCCCATCCCTCCCGGTACCCCATCCCCATCCCTCCCGGCTGCTCACCCAGCTCCTTCATGTACTCCTCGAAGCCCTCGCTGGAGACCAGGCACCATTTGCCTAAAAACGCGTCGATGGCCATGGCGGCGGCGCTGGCGGTGTCCCCGGGAGAAGCGCGGAGGCAGGAGGACGGGCCGTGGCGGGGCCGCCGCCGCCGCCGCCTTTATATAGGGGGGGGCCGGGGCCGTGTGGCGGGGGGGAGCCAATGGGGCCGCCGGTGGAGCCGCCGGGACCCTGCCCCGCCGAGCCCCCGCCCGCACGGGCCCTCCCGCCGCGGCAAGAGCCGGCACGTCGGGGCACCGCCCGGCCTGCGCCCGCACACACACACACCATACACACACACACACACCACACCACACACACACACCACACACCCCCACACACACACCTCTGCACCCCGGACCTGGACACACACCCCCCTCTCTGCACCCCAAACCCAAACAAACACCCACCTACACCCACACACCCACCCACCCACACACCCCTCTCTGCACCCCAGACCCGTACACACACACACACACACACACCTGTACCCCGGACGTGCACACACACACACCCACACACACCCCTCTGCACCTCAGACCCACACAAACACACACACACACACACACCCGCCTCTCTGCACCCCAGACCTGCACACACACACCCCACACACACACCTCTGCACCCCGGACCTGTACACACACACGCCCCACCCTGTAGCATGGACCTGCACACACACACACATACCCTCCTGTACTCTGGACCTGGACACACACCCCCCCACACACCCCTGTACCCTGGACGTGCACACACACACACCCCCGACATCCCTCTGCACCCCGGACCTGTACACACACACACACACACACACCTTGCTCTCTGCACCCTGGACCTGCACACACACACACACACACACCTTGCTCTCTGCACCCTGGACCTGCACACACACACACACACACACCTTGCTCTCTGCACCCTGGACCTGCACACACACACCCCCGCATACCCCCCTCTCTCTGCACCCCGGACCTGCACACACCCCCCATTCTCTGCACCCCAGACATAAACACACACACACCCAGACCCCTCTCTGCACCCTGGACCTGTACACGCACACACACACACACATCCACCCACACACACACACCTCTGCACCCTGGACCTGCACACTTATACACACTTACACACACCCCTCTGCACCCCAGACCTGCACACACACACCCAAACACACACACACACATCTGCACCCCGGACTTGCACACCCCCCCCACTCTCTGCACCCCAGACATAAACACACACACACACAGACCCCTCTCTGCACCCCAGACCTGCACACACACACACACACACACACACAGACCCTCCTGTACCCCGGACCTGGACACACATCCCCCCACACACCCCTGTACCCTGGACGTGCGCACACACACCCCCAACATCCCTCTGCACCCCGGAACTGTACACACACACCCACACACCCACACTCACCTCTCTCTGCACCCTGGACCTGCACACACACACACTTACACACACATACACCCCTCTGCACCCTAGACCTGTACACACACACCCACACACACCTCTCTCTGCACCCTGGACCTGCACACACACACACACACCTCTGCACCCCGGACCTGCACACACACACACACACAGACCCTCCTGTACCCCGGACCTGGACACACATCCCCCCACACCCCCCTGTACCCTGGACGTGCACACACACACACCCCCGACATCCCTCTGCACCCCGGACCTGCACACACACACACTTACACACACATACACCCCTCTGCACCCTAGACCTGTACACACACACCCAAACACACACACACACCTCTGCACCCCGGACTTGCACACCCCCACCCCTCTCTGCACCCCAGACCTGCACACACACACACACACACACACACAGACCCTCCTGTACCCCGGACCTGGACACACATCCCCCCACACACCCCTGTACCCTGGACGTGCGCACACACACCCCCAACATCCCTCTGCACCCCGGAACTGTACACACACACCCACACACCCACACTCACCTCTCTCTGCACCCTGGACCTGCACACACACACCCCCGCATACCCCCCTCTCTCTGCACCCCGGACCTGCACACACCCCCCATTCTCTGCACCCCAGACATAAACACACACACACCCAGACCCCTCTCTGCACCCTGGACCTGTACACGCACACACACACACACATCCACCCACACACACACACCTCTGCACCCTGGACCTGCACACTTATACACACTTACACACACCCCTCTGCACCCCAGACCTGCACACACACACCCAAACACACACACACACATCTGCACCCCGGACTTGCACACCCCCCCCACTCTCTGCACCCCAGACCTGCACACACACACCCAAACACACACACACACATCTGCACCCCGGACTTGCACACCCCCCCCACTCTCTGCACCCCAGACCTGCACACACACACCCAAACACACACACACACATCTGCACCCCGGACTTGCACACCCCCCCCACTCTCTGCACCCCAGACCTGCACACACACACCCAAACACACACACACACATCTGCACCCCGGACTTGCACACCCCCCCCACTCTCTGCACCCCAGACCTGCACACACACACCCAAACACACACACACACATCTGCACCCCGGACTTGCACACCCCCCCCACTCTCTGCACCCCAGACCTGTACACACACACACACACATACCCTCCTGTACCCCGGATCTGGACACACACATACACACACCCCTGTCAACCCTAGACCTGCACACACACTCAGACCCCTCTCTGCACCCCAGACCTGCACACACACCCACCCACACCCATCCACCCACACACACCCATCTCTGCACCCTGGACCTGCACACACACACACATACACACACACACACACCCCTCTGCACCCTAGACCTGTACACACACCCCCACACACACATACACCCACACACACCTCTGCACCCCAGACACGCACACACACACACACACACCCTCTCTCTGCACCCTGGACCTGCACACACACACATACACACAACCCTGTGAACCCTAGACCTGCACACACACACACACACACACCCCTCTGCACCCCAGACACACACACAGCCCTCTCTGTACCCCAGACCTGCACACACACACACATACACACACAACCCTGTGAACCCTAGACCTGCACACACACACACACACCCCCCTCTGCACCCCAGACACACACACAGCCCTCTCCGTACCCCAGACCTGCACACACACACACATACACACACTCCCCTGTGAACCCTAGACCTGCACACACACACACACCCCCCTCTGCACCCCAGACACACACACAGCCCTCTCTGTACCCCAGACCTGCACACACACACACATACACACACCCCTGTGAACCCTAGACCTGCACACACCCACACCCCACACCTCTCTGCACCCCAGACCCAACCCCCCCACACACACACACATCCCTCTCTGTACCCCAGACATACACACACACTCCCACACACCCAAAACCAACTCTCCAGGATTTTGGCTGGAGGGAATCTGTTTTTTTAAGTATAAGGCACGGCAAAGCACAGGGATGGCGCCGTGGGGAGTCAGCATCCCCAGGCAGTGTGTTGGGTTTGACTGCAGGGCCAGCATCCCCCCAGATCCCACCGCCCCATCCCGTCTGACCGACCCACAGCAATCCATCCCTTGCTGCGTCCCGGCTGCGGACCCGTTATCACAGAATCACAGAATCTTCTAGGTTGGAAGGGACCTTAAAGATCATCTTGTCCAACCGTCAACCCAACTGACAAAAATAGACACCCACACAACAAACAAAAAGCAACACCATCACTAAACCAGACCTCCCAGCACTACATCAACCCGTCTTTTGAACACCTCCAGGGATGGTGCCTCAACCACCTCCCTGGGCAGCCCATTCCAATGCCTGATAACCCTTTCGGTGAAAAAATTTTTCCTAATATCCAGCCTGAACCTCCCCTGGCGCAACTTGAGGCCATTTCCTCTCGTCCTGTCGCCTGTGACTTGAGAAAAGAGACCAACCCCCACCTCTCTACACCCTCCTTTCAGGGAGTTGGAGAGAGCAATAAGGTCTCCCCTCAGCCTCCTCTTCTCCAGGCTGAACAACCCCAGCTCCCTCAGCCTCTCCTCATAAGACTTATTCTCCAGACCCCTCACCAGCTTTGTCGCCCTTCTCTGGACCCGCTCCAGCCCCTCAATGTCTTTTTTATGGTAGGGGGCCCAAAACTGGACACAGTACTCAAGGTGAGGCCTCACCAGTGCCGAGTACAGGGGGACGATCACCTCTCGGGGCCTACTCGCCACGCTGTTCCTGATACAGGCCAGTTATGTTCAGGCAGAGACCGGGTAGCAAACAGGACCAATTGGCATACAGAATTAATGCAGGCACTCACCACGCAGAGGAAAGATCAAAGCCTGAAGGCAACTTCATGCTTCAGCACCGGAAAAATGCAGATTTGGTACCTTGGTTTTAGTCCATATTGAACTGCGACACCTTAATTCCTGCTCCTGAGAGGGAGAGGGAGCAGCTGCCATCACTGCGCCCTGCCACGGACGTACTGTCCAAAAATACACACCCTTGCCATCCCCCATGAGATTCTTTTGTCAAATTCTGTCAGGTGAGCAGAGAAATTTACTGTCGTATTCTGTGAGAAAGCCGCTGTTCCGAGGTCACAACAGAAATCCTGATTCCAGTGTGTCCCTGAGATTTGTTTCCAGCATGGGGGCTGTCATAGAATCAACCGTCCAGGTTGGAAAAGACCCTCAGGATCATGGAGTCCAACCATAATGCCCATCTCTACCTCTTTTGGCCTTGTCTCAGCCCGGGTGGAAACCCACAGCTGCTTTCTCCCAACCAGAAAAATAAAACCCTGAAGATACACCTCGTGCCTGGAGATTTTTGGATGGACGTAGCAGTGGCTGTTTCTCAGAGGAGTTTGAGCCAGAGGGGTCAAAGGCAGAGAAGCCAGTGAGGTGTCCGTGCTGCTGCCAGCCTTGCACAGCCCGGGAAGGTGCCATGAAGCCAAAGGGTTCAGTGCCAGGGGGATGCTGCCCTTTACCCTGGCCAGGGATGCAGCTCAGTGGAGCTCAGCTGAATCGGTTGGAGGGTGCAATACTTTCTAGAAAAGGTCAGATTTGTCACACACTAAGTTATCAGCTCATTTGTTGACTGAATTTTTTTTTTTTTTTTAATCCTTCTGTCTAGCTAACCTTCCTTACTGAGCTGCCTCTAATTACCTCCTGCTTCTCTGACTATATGCCTACTTTTAATATGCAAACAACACTGTAGT